GCATTTGCAGCCAGTGTCAATACTGAAAAGTCAGTGTTTAATGCTTACGTGGAATTTGAAAACATTGAATTTGTTACATTCCATTTTAACATTTTAAATGGTGCCTTATCCTTAGAATAACATCTTTAATTTTTGTGAAAATATTACTGTTCTATAGCACCACTGTCATCGCAATATCCTTACACCATGCCACGTATACACAAGTACTGTGAAATAATTTATTTTTGCTGGAATTAATTTTCGATGAAAAGACTTTTTTGTATGGATTTTATTTTCACTGAATCACCCCTTCAGTGAAAAATAAATTACTATTGAAAATAATGTATTTTACAGGGAATTTAAACCTGCTGGCAAAATAACTGAAATGCATTTATTAAAATTTCATAACTAGAAAATATTAGTCTTTCAATGATCAATATTAATAATTACAAAGAATCCGATTACCATATTTTCTCTATTAGAAGAACATCTCCAATAGATGAGCATATCATTAAAATATGACTTATTTTGATAACACTTCTATAACGTGTAGAAGTGCATGCACTACTAATAGAGCAAATACGGTAACTACCAACATTTTCTAATATATTTATCGGTCCTCGCAGCTTTCACCAACTTTAAAATATTAAAACATCAATTTGTGTTACAGTATATGATGATGATGATGATCTTTCAAACAGAATTCTTTGATTTCTGCAAGTGTGTTATCTTCTTAGTTACTCATTAGAATTTTACCTCATAAGTTGTCATGGAATTCATAGCGATTTTGATTTCAGGGAATTGATTTTAAATACAACATTTGTCTCAACTGAACAAAGAATTGTTTCAAAAAAAGTGTATATGTCTGAAAAACACTGCCATTATAAAATCCGAATTCGAATTTATTTATAATTTCTGTTGCCAATGGGCATGTATTTTTTTTCCAGTTTGCCTAATTGCCCCGATCAGTAATGTCAGACTTTGGTTGTTATGGGTCATTATTTTATTGAAAAGGTCAAAATGTTATGCATTTAGTGCCATATAGAGACATTTATTGTGTCTGCTTCACTGGCCATGTATGGTTGTAGGAATGTATCATTTCAGTTGTGTTCATGCAGACCACCATGTCCAATGGAAGGGAATGTTAAACTAATTGTGTATGATAAAAGCATAAAGTATATGCATGTTTAAGTGCTAGTCAGTGCAGAGTAATAGAATCTTGCACTCCAAGGACCAGGACCTCAGATGACATTTCTCACACAAGTATAGAATTTTTTGTCTCGCATGAGCCGTAGTCTTAATTGGTGTGTGTGATTCTTTTTCACATCACCACAAAATACGTACTTAACGGAGAAAACAAGCTTGACATGTTTTTAAAGTAGATGCAAGACTGCTCAAATTAACAGACATATTTATTCTGCATCCCAAAACTCCCTATCATCCAGTACCAAGCAAATATAAATCAGATAGTACATTTTCAACCTCACTGCATACAAAATATTTATTTATTGACTCTTACTTTAATAGCCAGTGTAGTTCCCATCGTCAGCAAGCAAATTATTATGAACAAATGCATTTTTACCCTAGCAGCTGACAAAAGTAAAACTTCCAGCGTTCAACGTGTCTGGGTACATGATGGCGAGTTTCACTGCCGAACGATTCACATTTTCTACAGACAAGCCATCCATTGTATCAAATTGATACTTTCAAGAGGTTCTGTATTCTGTAATAATATTAATCTGAAGTGTTTATTCGTCGGCATTTGCCACTTCTGAAGCCATGTTTTTATTACCATTGCATTGGTGGCCCATGCTCCCTTAGTAGTTACGACTTGTATGTAAAGCATTTTGCCATTAGGCAGTATTTTGTGCTTGGAGGATTTTAACAAATGTGTACATGTGTCTATTTACCCATTTAAAGTCTAGTGTATTTATGTGAATTGTAAAACTATCCTTACATTTGTGGTTTATCGTAATCTAAGCTGAAAAGGTCAGTGCAATTAGTTCAAACTAACCACTATGTTTACATGTATGCTCAAAATTGGAATAAATTTAAACCGACAAATGTCAAAAGTCGGGTAACACAATGTGGAAAAATCGGATCTGTATTGTAACATTGGATAAACTGGAATTAGAAAAACAAGTGTTGATGACTGAAGCTTACATTACACACTGTAGCTTAACATTTAAGTGTTTCAAGTAATATGACACTGGTGTGTACAAACGCCAACCAGTGTGGTAGTAGCAATCAAAGCGAGACCAGATTTCCTAGTCTTATCTGTAATGTAATATAAAAAAAGTAGCTAAAGCTTCAACTACTGTATAAAAAGATAGCTATACATAATGATTCAAGCTTAGAGATGATAGACAACTTTACTGACATGTACATTTGTATCAGGGTGCAATACGCATGTTGTATATATCGCGTGGACCCATATTTAACATGCCACATAGTGACTACCACTGCCCTTTAAAGTTACAACTTCTTAAATAATTTGTATGTGTTATTGGACATTCTTGTGACATACCAACAAAATTAATAAATAGCAAATAATAAATAGCAAATAATAAATGATAGATTTTAGTGTTTTTGTTAAGTATCTTTCTCGTTTCTCATTAAGAACGAGCTGTGTATAAATTCTCCAACAAGTTTGATTACATTTGTGTTAGAATTTTTCATTAAGTATGTAAATTTCTGTTGGTCAGTTTTTGTTTCATCAGGAAACTGTATATTTGAGAATATATCCATTCGCAGTGTGTGATATTTTGGGCATTTGATGAGGAGATGCATTTCATCTTC